TCAGCATCAGTTATTGTGGTCACTTGGCAGTGAATCATCAGACAAAAGATCTTCCTCTCTGTATATCCTCCTCTCTATATATATCTGACTTTGCAATACAAATAAATAAATCTTTTTTTTTAAGATTTATTTTATTTTTATTGGAAAGGCAGATATACAGAGAGGAGAGACAGAGAGGAAGATCCTCCGTCTGATGATTCACTCCCCTAGTGAGCACAATGGCCGATGCTATGCCAATCTGAAGCTAGAAGCCTCTTCCAGGTCTCCCACACGGGTGCAGGATCCCAAAGCTTTGGGCCATCCTCGACTGCTTCCCCAGGCCACAGGCAGGGAGCTGGATGGGAAGCGGGGCTGCTGGGATTAGAACCGTGCAAGGCGAGGACTTTAGCCACTGCGCCACCATGCCAGGCCCAAATAAATCTTTTTTTTGGAGGAAATTTTTCCCTTTACTTTTGACAATCTTTACATAGTTAATTAGGGCAAAAAGTTTCAAGGGCTACGGGAAAGTGGGTAAGACTATTATTTCCACATTGTTTTTTTTTTTTTTCCTGTATCTGGGGTAAAGGGAGAGATAAAGGGAGAACTAAATAAATAAAAAATAAATATATCTTAAAAAAAAAAAAGAAGAAGAAGAAGAGGGGCCTGGCAGCATGGCCTAGCAGCCAAAGTCCAGCATTCTACTGGTCAGACAGGAAAAGCATTCTTGCCATTGATGAAGGGGACGTAATAAAAATTTCATCGTGGAAGATGGACTAATGGTGACTGCCCCCAGGGAAAGCTGCCTGCTTCCCTCAGTGTTAGGGACATGTTAATGAGGGTGGACCTTTGCCCAGTGGTTCAGTGCCTGCTTGGTCTTCCCCACCACCTTGCCCTGTGTCAGACTGCCTGGTCCGAATCCTGGCTACTCCACTTCCAATCAGCTCCCTAGTCATGTTCACTCTGGGAGGCAGCGGGTGATGGCACAAAGGCTGGGGGTCCCTCCCAGCCACAGGGGAGACCTGCGTTGGGTTTCTAGACGGCTTCAGTCTGGCCCAGCCCTGGCTGTTCAGGATTTGGGGAAGCCAACCAATGGATGGAAAATATGTATGTTTCTCTCTTTCTCTGCCTTCCAAGGCAAATGAAAAAAAAATGATATATACCTTCCAAAAAACAACCCACAATGAGTTAGCACGTCATATCTGCTCGAACAGTGGGAGTTGAGGAGACAGAGTGGGTCAGTGTTGGCCCAAATGTGGCACGCCAGGGCTCTGCCACACTGAAGATGAGAATAGAAGCTGGCAATATAACCACTTTGGAAACATTGGGCCACACCGTCACAGGATCCAGCCATCGTGTGCCTGTGTTTATCCAAGGAGAGCACATGTCCTCACAAAGACCTGTACCCATGGAATGCACAGCCAGTCCTGCAGTGAACAGGCACTCCATATGGGAGTGCATGGGCTCAGGATCTACCTCCCTCCTAATTCCAGTTTTCTATTAGTGGATGGCCTGGAGGCAGGAGGTCACAGTTTAGGGAGTTGGGTCCCTGACACCTGCCTAGCCACGGGAGACAGGGATGGGTCTCTGCACCCAGCTTCATCCTGATCCAACCCTAGTCATTGCAGCCATTTGGGGAGTGAATCAGTAGATGCACACTCATCTATCTTTCTTTCTGCCTCTCAAATAAACAAATTTTTTAAATGGGTTTTTTTTTAAAGATTTATTTTTTATTATTTTTCATTGGAAAGGTGGATATACAGAGAGGAAAGACAGAGAGGAAGATCTTTCGTCCGATGATTCACTCCCCAAGTGAGCGCAACGGCCGATGCTATGTCAATCCGAAGCCAGGAGACTCTTCCGGGTCTCCCACACAGGTGCAGGGTCCCAAAGCTTTGGGCCGTCCTCGGCTGCTTTCCCAGGCCACAGGCAGGGAGCTGGATGGGAAGCAGGGCCGCTGGGATTAGAACCGGCGCCCATATGGGATCCCGGGCGTGCAAGGCAAGGACCTTAACCACTTGCGCAACCGTGCCAGGCCCGTGTTTTGTTTTGTTTTGTTTTTTTTAAGAATTTGACACAAGCACTCATAGCAGCTAATTTGTGAAAGTAAACTGTTGGAAACAGCAAAAATGCCCATCAATACATGATTGAACAAAGAAACTAAGGTCCAGCTTATTTGGCATTACAGGAGTGAGCCTTTGGTCCCCCTGACAACACGGACTGTCTCTCTAAAACCACCAGGCTGAGGAGCCCACGCTGTGGTATAACAGATCAAGACACTGCCTGTAAGCACTACAATCCCCTATGGACACTGGTTCAAGTCCAGGCTGCTCCACTTCCAGTCCAGCTCCCTGTTAATGTCCCTGGGAAAACAATGGAACATAGCCCAAGTCTTGGGATCCTGCATCAACATGGGAGACCTGGCTGAAGTTCTTGGTTCCTGGCTTTGTCTGGCCCAGCCACAGCCACTGTAGCCATTTGGGGAGAAAAATCAACGCATGGAAGATTTCTGTCTCTTTGTATCTCTCCCTGTGCTGCATCACTTTGCCTTTCACATGAGTAGAATGAATCCTTAAAAAAAAGAAGAAAAAGAAAAAACAATTGGGCCAAATAAGAAAGAAAGAAAGAAAGAAAGAAAGAAAGAAAGAAAGAAAGAAAGAAAGAAAGAAAGAAAGAAAGAAAGAAAGAAAGAAAGAGAAAGGAAGGAAGGAAGGAAGGAAGGAAGGAAGAAAGAAAGAAAGAAAAGCAGGCCAGAAGTATTAACTACACATCACATGATTCATTAAGTGAAATTCTGGGAAATGCAAGCTAATCTCCCACAACAGAAAACAGAGCCGTGGTTGCCTGGGCCAGAGCAGGGAGGAGTAGGGAGGCAGGGATGACCACAAAAGGCCAAGGGGCAGAAGCTGGGCTGAGCAGCTGGGCGGCTGGGTAGGACGCCTACCTCCCCACTGCGGAGTCTGTGCCGTGCGGTCTGGCTCCCAGAATGTAGACCCTGAGGTGCAGCAGGTGGTGGCTGCTTCCCCTCCCCCTCCCCACCTTCCACACAAGAAATAAAAGGAGAAGAGGCTGGTATGGTGGTGTCTCCACACCAGGCTAAGTCTCCACCTGCAATGCCAGCATCTTATATGAGTGCCAGTTCATGTCCTGGCTGTTCCACTTCTGACCCAAATCCCTGCTAATGTGCTTGGGAAAGCAGTGGAAGAAAACCTACGTACTCAGGCCCCTGTACTCATATGGGAGATCTGGATGGAATTCTGGGTTCCCAGTTTCAGCCCGGCTCAACGTGGCTATTGCAGCCATTTGGGGAGTGAAACAGTGAATGGAAACTCTCTCTTTTTGTCTCTCTCTGCCCTTCCCTCACAACTGCCTTTCAAATAAATAAAATAGCTTTGTTTTGTGTTTAGCCTTCCAAGGATTTTATCTGGCACACAGGTATGTTTTGTTTGGAGGAACTTAGTAGACAGAAGTTTCACCTGGGAGAGTTCTTACTGAAACCTGGCATTCCAGCATCCTTGGTGCTTAGGGGCAGGCAGGACAGGTTCACAACTCCTGCCCATCGAGATGGCCTGGGATCAGGTTCTGCCTGCATGGCACCTCCCAGGGCAGGCATGGGACTTGGTCAAGGCTGGGGCGGGGTGGCAGTTATCTGAGTGCACAGGTTGGGGGTGGGGGGTGGGAAGTGGAACTGCCCTGTGACAGGTGTGCTAGCTGCCTCATCATTGCTTCCCACCCATCACCCTCCAGGGCCCGGCTCCTGAGCGGGGTCCCCCATGCATGCAGTACTCCACTTCTCATCCCCTCGCCCAAGGTCAAGCCACTCAGATGGAGCTCCTGACACACCTGTCACAATCCAGGTGTGACACACTCAGCTCCAGAATGGTGATTCATGCTCATGCCACCACGGGAGGCTGACTCACTCAGCGGAGAGGCATACCTGACAAAGCCTGCATCACCTGCAGAGTCCCGGTGTGCATTCATCCCTTCAGCTCTCCCTGGGGGAAACAAATTCAAACTGTCTTACAGAAATGCTGCCAACTTTCAGTTCAGCCAACGCGCCAACAAAATGTGAGGCAAGGGCCCAGCGTGACGGCTCCATTGGCTAATCCTTCCCCTGCAAGCGCTAGGATTCCATATGGGCACTGGCTCATGTCCAGGATACTCCACTTCCCTTCCAGCTCTCTGCATTGTGGCCTGGGAAAGTAGCAGAGGAAGGTCCACATCCACATGGCATCCACATGGAGACCCAGAAGAAGCTCCTGGCTCTTGGCTTCAGATTGACTCAATTCTGGCCATTGTAGCCATTTAGGGAGTGAGCTAGTGGGTGGAAACCTCTCTTTCTCTCTGTAAGTTTGCCTTCCAAATAAAAAGAAATAAATCCTAAAAATACTCCCAGTTTCATGTGCCAGATATGTTATAAATGTTCCATCCTACCGATATAGAACAAACAGTTCTTGACTAGAATGAGTGGATATAGCTGTGTTCCAATAAAACTTTATTTACAAAACTAGATGAGCCAGATGTTGCTTGCAGGCCACAGTTCACCAGTGCCTGCTGTCATCTGTTTATAAATGTACACAAAAGAGCATGAGCATGGTGGAAAAGAGCATGAGCCACAGCTTGCAGCACTGAGTGGCATCCCACCTGAGTTCTTGTTCAAGCCTCGAACGCCCCACTTCTGGTTCGGCTCACTGCTAATGCACACAAGAAGGCACAAATGCTTGGGTCCTTTCCACCCCTGTGGGAGACCTGGATGGGTGACCACTGCTTCCTGGTTTTGGCCCAGTTCAGTCCTGGTTGTTGCAACCATTTGGGGAATGAACCAGTGGATGGAAGCTTTTCAAATAAGTCTTAGGGAAAAAAAAAAAAAAAAAGACACAGAGATGTGTGTATAAAAAGATATCCCTTTAATTTTGAAATTGTGACCTGGAAAGCAGGAGCCGGCAGAAGCAATCCAGGCTCCCTCCTTGGACCTGCGTCGTGCCAACACATACTGGCTCAGGTTTCCAACCCGGAGGAATCCATCATCAAATCCCTGTTGGCACCATCAAGTTTGGCGGAGCAAGGGTGCCCAGGCTCCTCTTAGCACCTGCCACTCCAAGGTCTTCCCTTTCGCCACCCACCCTCACGGGGCTGAGACCTCCTCCTTCTCACCGGGCTGTAGGTGACGCCCCTCCCAGCCGTCTTTAGGGCCACCCCCCAGTAACTGACAGTGCAGCACAGAGGTTCCAACATGTATCCCCAGAAGGGCAGTGGAGACCCAGAGCTGTGGGTCATGTATGACCAAGACACCTACCACAAAACTGCACACCAGTGGGACAACCTGGTGGGGGAGGTCCAAGTGGGCCATGAATGGGAAGTGTGCCAATGGAACGGGCACACACTGCCTGGGCACACAGCCGCTTGTCCCAGAAGAAACAGGAGCAGCTTGCAGCAAGCCTTCCGAAGAGAACCCGTGGTCACCTGGGGCCTACCGCAGCCGGCAGCAGCAGCCCACTCTGGCTTGCTCCCTCTGACGCCGCAAGCACCCAAAGCTCCATCTGAGGTGGCAGCTCTGGGGGCACACCCCCTCAGGGGCTGCCCAGACACTGTGGAAGACCAGAGAATGACCAAACACCACCCCCCCCCCCCATACAGCAGCCTTCAGTCTAGCCGGGCTGGCTGCAGTGGGGCACTGAGTGGCGGTTGGGCCCTGCCAAGGGTGGTGTGGGAGGAGGGCACAGCAGGAGCTGGGTGCTCCTGAGAACTGAGGCACAGGCCACCGCTTCCCCCGACACCCCGGGGAGGAAGACATTATTGCCTGTCTGATAGCACCACGGGACTGTACCCACAGGGCGGGCACCTGGGGTGGGGCGACCCAGGGCAGGGACTCCAGGGAGGCCTGCACTCCACAACCTGGCTTGTGACAACCCGTGTCACAACCCCTGCACAATAGACGTGACCCCACCCCCACCCAGCCTCAACACCCTCCGGATCTTAACGAGGTGGCTCAAGCACTGGGAACCAGGGCCCAACAACTTCCTCTTCCCGGTCTCCTTCGCACATTCCAGAAACAGCAACCCAAAGCGTCTAGCAAAGACAAGAGGGATCGGTCTACCTGGACCGCCAATCACAAGACCACAGAGGTTTCATCCAATCACAGCAGAGGGCTGGCCCGGGGGCGGGGCCAGGGGTTCCTGCCCTCACTGGATGACGCCGTCCGGCTGTCCATTCTGGGCGACCCGTGCAGGGTCAGAGGTGGGGGCCTGGTTGGGTGTGTGGCTCTGCAGATAGCGGCGGAAGTCTTTGACCATGGGCCGCAGGACCTGGATGAGGACGCTGAGGGCCGCCTGCGTGCCCTCCATGGCCTGGGCCTGACGTTCCTGGGCACAGGCCTGGAGCTCCTGTGAGCGGCGGATCATCTGCAGTAGGTCGTTCTGCTGCTCCAGGTGCTGGGCGATCTCCCTCACGTGTAGGTTGGTGACCCGCTGCTCCTGGATCAGCTTGGCCGAGTTGAGGGCTATGCGGCTCTTGAGGGCCTGCGGCTTGACCGTGGCCTCCGCGTGCTGTGCCATCATGTCCACCGGGGCTTCGGCCGCCATGGGTGGAGGAGCCTCAGCTGTGCAGTACTCCACCACCCCCTCCTCCAGCGTGTGGTAGGTGGTCTCCGCCGGGACTGTAGGGGTAGGGGAGAGAGCCAAGGCACAGGCAGGTCACTTTCTGGAAGTGAGGACACAGGCCAAGGGGGCATGAGGGCAGGGGAGGAGTTCAGTTCACCACCTTAATCTTGCCCCTCAACAGCCCCCGGGGCCGGCCCTGCATGTAGCAGAAGACAAATAAAAGAGACTTCCCAACGTTTTAGGGCATTTCTTGAATACCTGGCACGGGGCAACTCAGGACTTTGACAGACCCTCCCAATGACACCAAGAGGTGGGGCACTGTCAACTTCAAGTTCAGAAGCAGGGTCACAGAGGGACTTGCCTAAGGTCACACGGTTCCCAGGGCAGGGCCAGGAAGCATGTCCAGATCTGGCCAGCATGGGAGCCCAACCTGCTGTGCCTTCCCCACCCCAACCATGGGGCAGCAGAGGCTGGGTGATGAGGACCCTGCAGAAGCTGTCTGTGGCCACACAGCCCCACCTCTTTGGCTGCCATGCCCCTTGTGACTAGCGAGAATGGGACAACAGCAACTAAGGGGCCCAACCCATACCTCCCTGTCTCTTGAGTCACATGAGTCCAGGGGATTCCTAACTACCCTTCCTGGTCCACAGCAGGACCTGACAGACAGCAGGGTCCCTTTCCCCCTATTCAGCACAGCTTGGGCCATGGGACACTAACACACACCCTCCCAGTTCCTTCAGCCTCACCGAGACTCATTGGTGGCTACACTTCCCAGCCCATCCCGGAACAAGAGTTCACAGTCACTGGCACCCATTCCTTGCCTCAACTTCCAAATCCAACCCGAGCTAGTTCTGCCTTCACTGATAGCGTTCTTTGAACACTGCAAGGAATTTGGGGGAAGGCGTGGTGACTGATGGGGCCCCAGTGTGTGTGGAAGAGTGCGGTCACCAACTGTGTCCCCACTCTGCCAGGAAGCCCCCTTCTTCTCCCAAGTCCTCAGGTTTTCCCCAAGTGATGGTGGAACTGTTTACCCGTGTGCCTTGTCTGTCCTATGAGCCTTGAGTGGGGCCGAAGGCTGAGACACCGGGGCAGCCCTGGAGTGGGTCAGGGTGTGAAGTGCTACACGCTTGGGGGATGAATGAATGAGCAGGTGAACTCCGGGAAGTGTCTCTGAGAGTGTCCTCCACTCTGCAGACACACATGAAGTCCCAGAGTGAACAAGGTCATTTTCACCTGGGGAGCTCTTCTGAGACCCTTCCCCTCTGACCTTTGACCCTTGGCAGCCAAGCTTTCCCTGAGCAGGAGAGGGGTCACTCACTCTGTGTCAGGGTGACCGTGGCCGCGGCTGCAGTGGCCGTGGGTCCGAGGGCCACGGGGTGGATCTCGGTGGTGCTGGGCAGGCTGATGATGGTGGCCTCGCCCAGCAGGTTGCAGATTCGCTGCTGCATGGGGGTCAGCAGCACCGGAGCTACTGCTGGGCCACTGCCCCCAGTGCCACCGCCTGTCCCGGGCCCACCAGCGCCATCGTCCTCAGTGGGCCCCGGGGCCTCGCCGCCCTCCACGGCGGCCCGGACCTGGGCAACCTTGCGTCGGACCTCGGTCTTGAGGTCTGACCACTTCTTCTTGACCTCAGGTAGCTCCCTGCGGCAGGTGGCCACGGCATTGACCCTGCGCAGGATGCTGTGCCAGGCTGCGCTCTTGGCAGCCAGGGGGACCCCAGCGTTGAAGTGGTTCACCAGCAGGTGCTTCTTCAGCTCCAACTCCTCCACGATGATCTCCACCTCCCGCTCGGAGAAGTTCATCTTCCTCTTCTTAGCTGGCACAGCCATGGCCTCTACCCCTCCTCTCTTAAAAAGAAAAAAAAATTGCAATCCCCTGCACTACCCCAATTGCCCTCTTCTCCTTCCTCAGCCTCGTGCTTCACCCACCCACCCCAGCAGGGGCTAGGCCGGGCTTGCTCAAGGCCAAGCACCAGGCCTTTGGTAACCCCCTCGCTACGCAAAATGCGTAGGGCCCAGCCTCGACCCGCTCGGCCGCGGCCAGCCAGCTGCGTAATGGCTTCCTGAATCTGCCTCTTCCGCCGCGGCGTGCGGAGATCCGCCCACTTCCCTTTCTTCCCGCCTCTAAGTGAGTCTCCAGGCGAATCCATGCTCTTGATTGGTGGACAGCTCCGATACCGTGTCGGCCACTGGCTTATTCGATAGGTCACTCAACTAAGGGACACGCCTACTCACTTAAATCAGCCTTTTCATTGGTGCACAAATGCGCCTGTCGCTAGAGAGCGCTTCTATTGGAAAAGCATTTTGTCATTCAAAGAACTGTCTTACGACCCTGACACCGTGGGTTCAGGTATTTTATTGGTCTATAGGGAGTTCGGAGACCCAAACCCGGCCTCCCAAAGTTGATGTCTTTACCTTTGATTCACTTTTGGTCCCACCCACGAGCACAAACTGCCTTACAACTGCAGTTCATATTTCATTCTGTTCCCCTCCGTGCACGCCAGCTCCAGACACCCTTCCGAAGCCACAGTCTGAAACCGCGTTTCTCAATGCGAGTCGGACACGGGGCCTACCACCTGTCAATCAGACGATTTCGGCCTATCGCAACGCGAATGTACCCGCCCTCTGGCCGGCTCAGCCAACCCTCGCCTCCCTCCGTTTGAATAGGTCCCAGGCACCGTAGGGCTGGCCCGGCCTTTCCCCTCAATCCGGGTAGTTCGCAGGCAGGTCCCGCCCCCCTTCCCCGCCCCGGCGTGGCCGTCCCGGGCTGTGATTGGCCGTAGTTCGGCCTGGGGGCGTGACCGGCGGGGCGTGGCTCCCGGAAGCGGCCCCTCCCGCCCGCCTGCCGGCTTCTCGCAGCCCGCGCTCGCCATCCGCGCTCGCCCTCCGCCGGCCCGCCGCCCCCGGCCCGCGCCCGGCGCCCCAGCCTCGCGCCCGATGGTGAGCAGCGTGTTGTGCCGCTGCGTGGCCTCTCCGCCGCCGGACGCCGCCGCCACCACCACCAGCACCTCGTCGTCGCCGGCTGCCGTGGGGGACCCGTGCGGCGGCGCCGTCTGCGGGGGTCCGGACCACCGGCTGCGCCTGTGGAGCCTCTTCCAGTCCCTGGACGTCAACCGCGACGGCGGCCTGTGTGTCAACGACCTGGCCGTGGGCCTGCGGCGTCTGGGCCTGTACCGCACCGAGGGCGAGCTCCGGGTGAGCGGTGCGCGCGGGGTCGGGGTGCGGTGGGGGACCCCGAGGAGGTGGGCTTGACGGGTCCCGATACCCTCCCTGGCTTCTCGGGCAGCTCCCGGAGGAGCGTGGCAAAGGGGGTGGCCCCTGCCTGACACATGGACACCCCGTTTGTGCCGCAGTGGCAGTGGGCTTCCTTGGGGACCCCTGTGAGTGCAAGCGCCCCTAGGGGACAGGGCTGTCTGTGAACGCGCTGGGCGTTCGGATGGACAACAAGCCGCTTCCTGCTCGGACTTTTTTCCCCAAGTGCGGCGGCTCTTCTTTGCCCTCTGACCTCGAGGCCAAGCTCATTGTCAAACACCGCACCCCATCCCGTTTCCAGAATCAGGATTCCAGGGCATCCCCACCCCGCACTGCCCTTTTCCTCGCCTTTCCATGTCGCCCCGGGGCCCGCATCTAAGCATGTGGGAGTTGGAGAGAAATAAAAATGGGAACTGGGTTTCTGGCAGGCAAATCCGTCCACACGTGGGCGGTGTGACTGACAGTTCTCGTGGCTGAGGCTCATCTCCCGGAGCGGGGTGGTTAGGAGGGGGCTCGTGCTCCCTGGGAGGACTGGAGTACCCATGGCATGGAGGAACCCCAGGGAAAATTCCGTGTACCAGTGATTGTGGTCTACCCTTGGCTGGGCTGGGGCTTCCCTGGGCCTTGCCAGACAAAAGCTGTCCTGTCTCATGGGTTGTTTTTCTGACTCCCATCGGTGTCTAGGGACCCTTTCCCAAGTCTGTCATTTCCTGCCACCTGCAGGAGTAAGCCTGCCCAACGCTTTACCCAGTAACCTGCTGCTCGGTGCATTTGGACACACAGCAGTTGGAGAACCTTCTCGGCAGGTGTCAGAACATCTGGTAAAATGCTCTGCCAGCTGGCCGGGTGCACCTCAAGGGGTTAACTGCAGCCGGGGGAGTTCTGGCTGATGGGAACCTGCCCAGTGTCAGTCTGGAAGGACAGAGGAGGCGCTGGGCAATGTGGACTCACCCGATGGCATCTAGCAGATTTAGACAGGTTTTAGGTACAAGGGTAAAGGCAGTTTTCGGCCAGCGTTGTTCCCCAGCTGTTCCCCATTCCTGTCTGATGAATAAGTGAATGGCTGGACGCTATCAGGGTCTGTGTGCTTGAGGGCTGGGACCTCTGTGTGGGAGGGGTGAGGGATGTGTGCCATGGCTTGATTCCTGCCACATCTGATATTAATTCCAATCTCATAGCCCAGGGAATGAGGGGGAAGACGTGAATCTGCTCAGAGCGAACTAGGAGAAAGCGAGTGCTTGGCTTCCCATTGTTGAAAGCAAACCTCCTGTGACTCCGGGGGAGCCCAGACCCTTGGGTTCCTGTGATCCGGTTCTGTCTCCTTGGGGGTGTGGGCTTGCTGTGGCCTGCTTCTGCAAGCCTTTCAGCTTTTGAGCACTTCAGACTGGAAATTAGAAATTATGAATGATTCAGTTTCAAGTATTGTACAGAAAACCTGCCTTTTTTAAATAACTGGGCAACAGGAAGTCAGCCAGGCCTCCTAAGACCCCCCCATCAGCATTTCCTGTCAAATTAGCAACTGGACTAGAGGGGAACTTGGGGCCTCTGGGCTCAACCTGGCCCTTCCCCCCCCCCCATAAGAAAGGAAGCTGCTTGTCTGTCCCACAGGAAGCCTTCCAGGTGGTTCCCCGAGGGCCATGGGACTCCCCAGGCCTCCACCTGCCTTCTGACCGCCTGGGGCCAAGTGTTCTTTCAAAGAAACAAACCAGCCAGTTTCTCTGACTCCTTTGAGACTGTCAGGGGGAAAAATGACTTAAAATGGCAGTGGGCAGAGCAGCCCGTGGCACCCGGCCAGGGAGATTTTCTTTGTAAAGGGCATGCAAGGAAGAAACCAATCCAGGGACAAAAGGAGGGAAGGGTTTAGAGTGGAAAGAAAGGCTGAGGAGATAGGGCCAGAGTTACTTATAGCTTCGCTATTGAAAGCATTTTCATGTGACCCAACAAACTGTCTGAAATGTAAAGTAAAGTTTAGCGCTCAGGCATTCAATTAGAGGAAGTGGGCTAGCTGGGCTGCGTCTACACAGCCAGCTTTCCGGTCCAAGTGGGGAGCGGGGAGATTCCAGATGAAGTGCTTGCGCCGACCTGTGGCTGTGAAGAGAAGGCAGAACGGTACAGTGGCTTGACCCTGTTTCACAAGGTTCCAACCGACCATGAAGCAATCAGGCCATGCCCGGCGTGGTAGCCTGGTGGCTAAAGTCCTCACCTTGAACACGCTGGGATCCCATAAAGGCACTTGTTCTAATCCCAGCAGCCCCACTTCCCATCCAGCTCCCTGCTGTGGCCTGGGAAAACAATTGAGGACAGCCCAAAGCCTTGGGACCTTGCACCTATGTGGGAGACTGGAAGAGGCTCCAGGTTCCTGGCTTTGGATCAGCGCAGCTCCATCCATTGCAGCCGCTTGGAGAGTGAATCAACGGATGGAAGAGCTTCCTCTCTGTCTCTCCTCCTCTACATATATCTGACTTTGCAATAAAAATAATTAAATCTTTAAAAATAAAAAAGAGAAGTCATCAGGCCACTAGTGGGTTAAAGTGGAGGTGGCCCTGGAGCCCTTGGCAGATTCCTGAGTCACTTGTCATTCTGCCTTGTTGCTGAAGAAAACGAAGAGGATACCAGGGGTCCAGTGTGGTTGTGCGGCCGATTAGGCCACTATCTGCAACATCTGGCATTCCGTATGTGCACTGGTTCAAGTCCCGGCTGCTCCCCTTCCCATTCCGTCGCTGCTAGTGTATCTAGGAATCGAGCAGAACATACCCTAAATACTTGGGAGATCCTGATGGAGCTCCTGGCTTCTGGCTACAGGCCGGCCCAGTCCCAGCAGTGACAGCCACCTGGAGAGTGACCAAGCTCTCCCTGTTTCTGACCATCTGATGCATAAAAAGAGAATGCCACACCTAGACTTTGGGATGACCATGAAAAAGGGGAGAGGTCTTTTTAGAACGAACCCTTTTTCCAAAACACGTGCAGACAAGGTCATCCAGAACTCTCCCTGTCAAAAACTGAGAATGTGCGACCAGCATGGTATAGCATGATGATCCCTGCCTAACGCGCCGGCATCCTGTTTGGGCGTTGGTTCGAGTCCCAGTTGTTCCACTTCCATTCCAGCTCCCTGCTTAATGTGCCTGGGAAGACGGTGGAAAATGGATCGAGTGCTTGGGTCCCTACACCTACATGGGAGACCCTGAAGAAGCTCCCAACTTCAGACTGGCGCCGCTCTGGCCATCGTGGCCTTTTTGGGAGTGAAGCAGTGGATGGAAAGCTTCTCTCTCTTTCTAAAATATGACCATTCAAAAAATATGTATTTTTATCAGAAAGGCAGATTGAGAGAAGGAGATACAGAGTGAAAGAGCCTCCATCCGCTGGTCCACTACCCACATGGCCATAGTGCTTGGAGCTGAGCTGAGCAGGAGCCAGGAGCTTCTTCCAGGTCCTCCACATGGGTGCAGGCTTCTAAGGCTTTGGAACGTCCTCGATTGCTTTCCCAGGCCACAAGCAGAGAGCTAGATGGGAGGTGGAGCAGCCAGGATACAAACCAGCACCCATATGGGATCCCAGTGCGTGGATGAGGACTTTAGCTGTTAGGCTATCATGCCAGGCCCAAAATGTTATTTTCAAAAATATATATATACTTAAAAAGACAGACTTCACCCTGGCCTATTTCTCTCCTTGACCATAACAGTATATAAACATGAGGCAATCTGTTGCTTTGAAATGATTGAATGGGAGAGCACTGATGGCCCACTGGTATTGCCTAATCAGAGAGTACCTTTGAACTCCATACCTTACAGGTGTTTAACCATCCATAGGGAGGTGTTTACTAAGTAGCCAGACTTAGATTAGATAGTCTACAGGGGGTGGGAGGGGGGAGCCTTTTTCATAGAGAAAGGCTTTTAGTTTAGGGTCATGGCCCACTAGGCAAGGAAGTGGGCTGTTTGCCATGTTTGCCAGCTGGATCGAGTTCATAGATGAAGCTGATTGTGTTATACTAGTGTTGTTGCAAAATTGGTTCCTGGCTCAAAGTCATGATCATCAAGTCAGCCACAAGTTGTTTTTTTCTAAATGAGTTGATGATTTGACAAGGAGGCTGAGGTCCAGACTCTGGGCGCAGGTGATGAGTCAAGCTGTGGCAGAGTGCACCTCAACTTGGGGCCTCTGTGGGAACTGCTCCTGGGACGCCCCGAGTCACACATTGCTGCGGTCTCACAGAGACCACAAGGGAGTGACGGCTCCCAGCTGGCGCTGGGGTGCAGCTGCCAGTCCTGCTGCACACAGAACTACTCTGAACTCCAGGAGTGAAACTGCTCACTCGGCGCTGGTCACCTTAGACAGAGTCTTCACAGAGAAATTATTTATTTGAAAGCAGGGAAGGAGTGAGCTCACCTGTCTGCTGGTTCACTTCCCAGATGCCCAGGAGCTAGGGGCTCATCCAGGTGTCCCTGGGAGAGGTGGCCAGGTTGAGACGTTATCTGCTGCCCCCGCCCCCCGTGTTGCACATTAGCAGGAAGCCAGAGCCCAGAGTGGGACAAGGACTTGAACCCTGTCACTCCAAGACAGTGTTGGCACCTTGAGGTCCTGTCCCGGCTACTGTGCCAAGCACTGCCTCCACCTTTTCTTTCCTTTTATTTTCTTAAGACTTATTTATTTTTATTAGAAAGTTAGACTTCAGAGAGAAGGAGAGGCAGAGAGGCAGATCTCCCATCTGCTGGTCACAACAACTGAAGCTAAGCTGATCTGAAGCCAGGAGACTCTTCCTGGTCTCCCACGCAGGTGAAGGGTCCCAAGGCTTTTGGGCCTCAACTGCTTTCCCAGGCCACAGGCAGGGATCTGGAAGGGATGTGGAGCATCCAGGATACAAACTGGCGCCCACATGGGATGCTGGCACTTGCAGGTGAACGGTTAGCAGGCTCTGCTGCCACACCAGCCTGTCCTTGTACCTGATAGAC